CAAAAACCAACTAATAAAATACCAGGAGCTACTAGAAGGTGAAAGAGAAAGAAAGATCTGCACTAGAACAGGCACTGTCTAGCCCTACCAACACTCTCAATTTGGACTCTAAGGCTCCAGAACTTTGATAGAAATTCCTGCTGTCTAAAGTCACCTGCTTTATGTTATTCTGTTGAGACAACTCTAGGAAACTAACTATGCCAGGCATTATATCAGTACACATCCAGCACAAATATCTTCTCAAGAAACTTGACTACAACCTCCTAAATGGGCAGTCTCCTACTGAAAAGATGTACAGCCTTGGAAACCCAATACAAGGTTCATCATGAGTCAAAATCAACAACAACGGGTTTGCCTTCTGGGTATAATTCAAAATTCTCTTTCCTATCCCCAAATCGTGAAGTTATTAGAAACATCCACTAAATAATAAACGTCAACATTTTCAAATAGCTGAATAAATAATATCTCTTTAATATTGTTTACTGAGCCCAATAAAGAGTCTCACTCAAAACTCATTACTGCCAAGTCAGAAGCTACACTTTTTTTTTTTCTTTTATTAGTTTTAATGAACATTTACAGAGATTTGGGGTTCTCATTCATTCATTGTTGCACTGTTTCTCTACCCTCCTCCCCAGTTCGTTCTTCTTCCTCTGGCCCCCAAATGTGTTTTAATTGTCCAATTGCCACAGTGCTTGTCAAAGCCAGTTCTCATTAATCTCCTTTGTCAGTGTGTCCTTTGCCATTCCCTATCACTCCTCCCTGAGAGAGACTTCACCCTGATTCATAAGGAAAAGGAGATGGCGTATTCTCTTAGCTACTTCCTGCTGAAAAGGGACGTTGTGTGGAGGAGACTGTTCATCTTTATTTTGAGGAGCCAATGGTGGATTTGAACCACCTGAGTGGCGCTGCGTTTGGGTTGGCAGAACAACTCCCTACAAACTACTCTCCCAAAACTCCCTTTTATAAATACGTAATAAATTCTATTATGAGGATCGCAATACTCTTGAAACTAACCACTTCCATGGCTTAAACTCATGATACTACTACTGAATGAAAGCCATAGGGGCACAGATAAATTGATAGCAGCTCTTGCCAAATTTAAACAAAACACTATCCGACAATCTTCTCATCATTCTCCTAATGGAATCTGTTATTCCAGACTTTAAAAATAAAAATCTAAAATGACTTTTTCTTAAAAGACTCGAAGATGGAATATTCTGGGAAAATATTAGCCTCGCATTTTCAGATGAGCAAACCATCTACCCTATTAGTTTATGGAGATGCCTAAGTCCATCTTCAATTTGATTTATATAATTCCACATCAATATTTCAACTAGCTCAATCTTTTTAATATTATTTAATATGGGATAGTAAGGAAATTATCTCATAACTTTTAAAAATAATATATAATGTCTTTGTGACAATTTGACATTAATTCCAGTAATAATTCATTCAGTCAACAAATTATGAGTTCCACCCACATGATGATGTTGGTGGTGGTAGTGAAGGCTACCAACAAGTGGAAAATGACTCCTTGCTGACCCTCCAGCGTGTTTTCAGAAGCAATAAATCGCACAGGAGATGACTATCCATCTTTCTCCTTACCACTCCATCTGCTCCTTACCACTAGGCCACCAAAGCTCCCCATAATCTGTAAGAAGTTGCTCTTGGTAAACAAAAGCTGTGCTTCTCTGGTAGTTTGAATCTACCAGCAGCTCAGGAGAAAAATGAGCACTCTTCTTTCATGTAATTCGAAACATAATGGGTGAGTCCACTACCAGTTGGATCTATCTTGATGGCCAACAAGAGGGAAGAAAGAAAGAGTGAAAAAGTGAATGATAAATATGTCACAATTTGCTATCAGCTACTAACCTAAAGGTGTGTGGCTCAAATTCACTCAGCAGCACCCTAGAAGAAGAGCATGTTGTGTTCACCTCTAAAAAGATCTCAGCCGGTGAAGCCCTGTGGAACAACTGTCTTCCTAACACAAAGGGCTGCTATGACTCAGAATGGACTCAAGAGCAATATGTTTAGGAGTTTTGGGTTGTTTCCAGTAATATGGCAGTAAACAATAGGCCTGGTTCTTTTCTTCATCTAGAATGAGAGGCAAATATTTTCAACATTTACACAATTGGGCAAATGTTTCAACATATGAGAACAGATAATAACTGAGGGCCAGGTCTAGGCTTTTTGTTGTTGTTGCATTTTTTTCTCTCTTTTCCTTTCCTATGAGGGCTGAAATGGTTGAGTCAATGTCTTACATACAAAACTTTTGAAGACAGTTAAGAAGTTCAAGCAAATGCAAAGGATAATGAGGCAAGAGGAGAACAACAACAACAAATACTCTGAAATAGGCACAACAGTATATGACTAAGGGAGAGTATGGACCCTCGAGGGCAATCCAGAAAACCACCCTTAAGAGCTTACAGAGAGGAAGTGGGAGAACGTGGTCACTGTTCTATGCAATCAAGTCAATTCTGACTCGAAGTGACCTCCAAGTGCTATGGAGTTGGAAATAACTCATAGCTGACCCTCCACTGGGTTTCTAAGGCTGTAAAGTACAGGGAAGAGGACCACCCATCTTTCTGCTGAGAAGCCACTGGTGAATTCAAACTGCCAGAGAAGCCTAGCCTTCAAGTTAACAACACAACTCTCTAGGGGCTACACCACCAGAACTCCCTCTTGGTGACCCAGTTGCCTATATATGTAACAAAGTAGAACTGCTCCCTCAGGTTTTATGGGTTAATGGTTTGAATCTACCAGCTGCTCCACAGGAGAAAGGTGGGCAATATCCTCCTGTGTGATTTACAGCCTCTGAAAACCTGCTAGAGAGTCAGCTATGAGTGAGTTCCAACTCAGTGTCACATAATGCATATATATGGATGCCAGGTCTTTTCTCCCATTAAATTGCTGAGTGAGTTCAAACCACTAACCTTACAGTTAGCAGCCAAATAACTGACCCCTGAACTACCAGGGCTCCATAGACGAAGAATGTGATTGTTAGTATGTGTTGTCAACTGACAACAAATCACAGCAAGCCTATATAAAACAAAGCAACCCTGCTTGATCGTACATAATTGTCACTATCTCTGCTCCAGATAAAACTGAAGATGTGGGCAGAAGGCACCAAGGAAAAGGAGGGCATAATTATATGTGTGCAGTAGAGTTGACAATAACTCAGAGTGAACAAAAGATCAAAATCTTGCCTTGCACCATCCCCACGATTTCCAATATGCTTGAGTTCACTGTCAGAGCCACTGTGTAATCCATCTCTTTGAGGGTGTTGCCCTCTTTCGCGAAGTCCCCACCTTACCAACTAATAAATAAAGGCATGCTTTTAAATAGTGGTTAACAATTCACCAAGCACTTCAATGTTTTATCTTTTGTTCCTCAACAACTTGTGAAGTAGTCATTATTTTCATGCCAAATCTTAATAAGGAACTCCTCTTTAGAACGTCCTCAGGGTAAGAAACTACTATCTACCAGTAGTTATAATTCCATTCCTCTCAAGATTCTGTACATGCTATTATTCTCAGAGAAACTATGCTGAATATGCCTTCATCTAAGCACTTCCTAAAAAAATTATGAAACAAATTAAGTAATTAAAAAGCTTTAAAAATAAGAGTCACATTATCTACTACCCAGCTTAAAAAACATATCCTGACACTTGATATCTTTTTTTTTTAAACTACTTATAGGTGTGTTTTCTCCATCAAACTATAAACTCCTTGAAAGCAGGGACCATGTGCCACTTAAGAACAAGCACTGAGTACTGAAGACTGCTGTTTATTAATATAAACGCACCTACCCCCAATACAAGTGAAATGAGTCATAGAGACTACTAGGAGCTCTGGTGGCACAGTGGTAAAACGCTGTGCTGCAATTCCAAAGGCAAGAAGTTCAAATCCACCAGCTGCTCCAAGGGAGAGGGTTGCGTTCACTTAGTAGTAAGCATTTGCGTTACCAACCCAGAGTCACAAAGTGAATTCACCAACTGTTTATCAAGGGAGAAAAATGGGAAATCTCCTCCCGTGCAGTTTACTGCCTCTGAAAACTCCCTGGAGGGTGTGCTATTCAGTTCCTACTTGAGGACACAAAACGAGAGGCTACGGAGACATTAAGTTACTGAACTCAGTTTCACAACCACACTTTCGGCTCACAAGTTATCAGGCCATTTCTAAACATACTTCAGCATTCATGAAATAAACTACCTCTTGAAGTGCAAGGTAATATGCTAAGTAGAAATCCATTTAAAGACTCAAAACATTAAAAAAAAAAAAAAAAGAAAAATTTCTTACAAGGCTGGCCCAAGATTTGACAGCTTTCAGATTTAAAGAGCACATTCCATCTTAGATCAACCAAGAAATCCGCCAAAGACGCCAAAGCCAACTAGTTCTTTTTCCCGCCGAGAATGTGTTGGCGTGGGATGTCTTTTTTTTGTTTATTATTATTGTTAGGAGAAAGGAATGCATAAACAAGGACAGGGAAGGTAAAGGGGAAATACGGTTTTGAAAAATGAAATGAAAAGTAACATTTACAAGAATCAGATTTGTTCAGGGTTCTTCTACACCTTTCTGCACGGACTTCTAAGCCTTATATAGCACTTGGCACACAAGGCCTAACAGGCCCTGTATTTCTGGGCTACAAGGAAGCTCCAGCAGCCACCTGTCCAGGCTCCTCCGCGCCTCCTACTAAACACGGCAAGAAAGTGACAGCCCCAGGACCACGTCCCTCCTGCCTCACAAGAAAAGCTACCCTGGGTCGGTGGACTCCTGTGGAGGTAGATCGATCAATCTATAGAGTCGGCGGGGGACACTAGGGACCCCAGGCCGGGACAAGGCAGGGGCCCGCCCGCCCCAGGTTCCACTCAGTTTGGCGCGTCCAGTGAGAGCCCCAGGGCAGAAAAGGGTAGCCAGAACCAACTCCCCCACGGCAGCGAGTACTTCGTAACTCCTTCCCCGAGCCTGTAATCGTTCTGGGCCCTCCCCGCGCTCAGTTACCTTCCCAAGTGACATCGTAAAGCTCAGAGACCTTCGCCATCTTCACAGAACCTAGAAGCAGGGGGGTGAGTGGGCGGGGAGAGGAGATCACATGATAGGCCGTGGGGCGGTGGCTAGTTACGATTTCATTTCTTATTGGTGGAGAGCGCGAAAGGGGCGGGATCCGCTACGCACGTGCACGCAACTCTCCGGAGGGGCTTTCGGAACAAGGGGCGGAGCGAGATGGGTGGCGCGTTGCTCGCCGGGAGTTTGAGGACGCTGGGGAGACTGCAAAGTGCAAATCTCGCGTTTTGGTGATGTTCCTTTATTGCTGTGGATTTTAAACAAACTCCGGACTTTTAGTATTTGCCACTCACGACCCTCTTTTCATATTCCCCGGTGATGGCTTGCTGCAGGGTTTTGCACCGGATTCCCTATTTGCCTCTAGCGTTACTAATTCCTTAGTGGCGTTCGCATCTCTTGAAGGCATTCGGATGGATTATACGTTTGCACTTTATGTTCCTTCGTATAAAGCTTTAATGATTGCGCTAGTACCTTCCTGGCAGCCTGCACACTTCGTTAACGCTCATCTTGGATATAATTGCTCTGGTTGTGATGCTTCCTACCTAGTTGTGAAAGTCCTTAAAAGCAGCCTCAGCTTAAGTGCATAATAAATAATGAGTGAATTGGATAATGGATGAATCTCTGTAGAGTGACTCTTCGCTTCTGCACCATTTACTACCAAACAACTGCTTTCAAGAACCTTTGGTCCTCATTTTCCAAAACGAGAAAAAACAGGATTAGAAGCAAAAGATTTTATGACGGATGAGTATGAAGTGTGTAAGAGCATATAAAAAGGAAAAAGTCTCTACAAAAACAGTCATAGCTAAGAAGCAGCAAAAAGCATTCAAAATTTGAATCCTGGGTTCTACACAGGAAAAAAAAATTTGTGTGACATGTGCCACATATGTAGCCTCATAAAGACAGAAAAGACGAATGAATTTATATCTTTGGATAACAATTTGAATAAGCTTCATTCTTTCCAGATTAAACAGTCCTATTATAACTTGGGGTCGGAGTTGGGGGAAGTTATAATGGCGGCTCAGAAATTCATGCATTCTCTTGGTGGTCCTAGTGTGTTAGAAAAAGCCTGGTTACCCACTGTATTAGTGTAACTATTGAATGACTAACCAAAAGCTCTGCAATGTGAGCCCAGAGAAGGATGGGCAGTCACTTCCCTGGAAGATTTACAGCTTTAGAAACTCAGCAGATGGTGGTGTGTGGTGTGATTGTCAAGTTCTGTAGAGTCCAGTATGACTCACTGTGACCCTCTTCATCTGCCTTTGGATTGGCAGTGCCACTGCTTGCCATTACCAGAATAGGAAGTATTGGTTCAGAAATAGAATCATCTCCTAATTGAACTCAGGTTCAATTCCTGGCCAATGAACTGCATGCACTCACCTGTCAGAGGTTGAGTTCCTGTTGCTGTTGTGCTGAACCGGTTAGTGGTAAGGAGTTGCACTGCCAGCCCAAACAAGTGTGGCTCAGGATGGAACTTTGGTGGCCTAGTGAACCAATGTATTCAGGCTCAACTAATGCACAGCTGGCCCTCCAGTGGGTTTTCAGAAGCAGTAAATAGCACGGGAGAAGATTGCCCAGTTTTCTCTCTTAGAACAGCTGGTGGATTCAATCTGGGTGCCTCTGAGTTAGCATCGTAAATCCTTAACACTAAGGGAACTCAACGACTCGACTCAAAGACACACAGCAAGCTACCAGAGCTCACTGAAGTAAATAGTTTGCTTTAAATGCAAAAGAAGTATGATACAATTCACTAATTAGAGATCATAACATACTTTGGGTATGTCGTCAGCAGAGAAGAATCTTTCAGTAAACATGCTGGAAAATGGAGGGTCAGAGAAAGAGGAAGACCCTCAACAAGATGAATTAACACAGTGACTAACAACAAGGAGAGCACGTCAGAGGTCATGAGAATGGGGCAGGATTCAGATCTATTGTCTGTAGGCTTGCTGTGAGTTACAGTTAACTAAACTGGTCAGCACCTAACAACATTGTAGGCCACATTTTGTAACTCCCATTTACTGTTGTGTGGAGCTAATGGCCTCATCTTACAGAGTTGAGCTATTAACCTAAAAGCTGAGCCTCTTTGAGAGTGCAAATCCATGGACTACTCTGAGGGAGGAAGGTAATCAAACTCCTTCTATGTGATTTACGGCCTGGTGAACTCCATGGAGTGACGGTTGGCTCCAGTTCAGTGACAGTGAACGAATATTTACTATTGTGAGGATGGCACAGGACTGAGTTGTGTTTCATTCTGTTGAACACAGGGCTGCTATGAGTCAGAACTGGCTTGGTGACACCTGACAACATTTACAATCATTGTAACTAACCATCAAAGTTAATTAGACTCACTATAATTTAGATTAAATTAGGCGCAGCTTTTAAATCATGTTGTTTCTAATTAGTGAATCATATCCTGTTCCTTTTGTATTTGAGGAAAACTATTACTTCGTCTGGGTTTCCACGTCACTGTGACATAGTCATCTGTGGAAGGAAACTTTCCTTGGAGTTCTATGTATCAAAAGCCAAATTAACATGGACTTGTTTTGGGAACTTAGTGAGGATTTCATTACATTTCAGACTGTGTCATTTAATACATCCTTTCGAAACATGAGACCTATTCCTCACTTGTTGAATCAACTGCAGGGTTTAGGCACTTCTGGTTTTTAAAATGCCATTTGCAGTATGTGTTATTTAAAAGTGTGCCAGCTCTTCGTTTCATGTTCAGTCATATTATTTTAGAAAGCAAAGGAAGGTCTTGGGGAAACATTTCCAGTGAGGTTACACCCATCCTCTCACCATCAAATTCACAAATCGATAATTACTTCTCTGTGCCATCGCTGCAACTGTGAGGAGGAAAGTACATCCAGAAAGAGGACTCCCAGAATTCCTCCCACGTGGGCAATCCATTAAAGCTGCTTCTTTCTGAGATTTATAGTCATGCTTAAGTACCACTTTTCCAAAGGATTTTTATTTAATTTCCCCAAAGTGCACTTTCTGTTGTGATACATGCATACATCTGTGCATGTGTAATAGTCCTAGTGCAAAGTTTCTTTTTTGTCGACTTCCATTTTGAGGACCAAATATCCAGCAGTTTCTAAGTATTACTACCATTATGGTCCAGTTCTCGATGGCCCCTGCAGTCCACCTAGGTTCTCCCCCCTCCCAATAAAAAGTATAGGGTTTTTACATGGAAAAAAATGTTCAAAAAGATATTTACTCACAATAAAAACAATTACAGTGTGTAAATTCATGCAAAGGTATAATGAAAATTATTTTATAAACCACTGGCATTAAGTCAACTGCAACTCAAGGTGACCCTCAAGACAGAATAGAAACTGTCCATAGTGTTTACAAGGCTTTAAATCATTATGAAAAGCAGACTGGCTCATCTTTCTCCCATGATAAGTTCAAACCATTGACCTTTTGATTAGCAGCTTTTAATGCACCTTATAGGAGATACAGTAGGGATGAATCTAGTACAAAAATTAAAATGTGCAAGAAAACAGTTGTATAAGTTACTTGACTCATGTGTGAAAGTTATATTCAAAACATTCAAACAGCTGGTGGGAGCCTTCAAGATGACCACCATGCCAGTGAGTTTGGCTTCCTGATTCTGAGGTCTAGTAGCCTAGTGAGCTCTAGTGGCCTAATGGTAAGAAGCTGTGCTGCAATCATGAAGGCTCCTGATTTGAATCCACCAGCTGCTCCAAGGACAAAAGAAGGGCGATCTCCTCCTATGCTTTAACTGCTTCTGAAAGCACTCCAAGGGGCCAGCTATGGGTAAGTTCTGACTCCACAGTACTCAACAAGTGTCTCACATTGAGTAGGGATGATCTGTGCAATCAATAGACTGTTGCAGAAATTATGAGAATGTGCTTCAAGACTAAGTCATAAAGTACGATGTGGATTCTGCCTCACTCTAAGGTCACTAATTCTGGAAGAGGACAGATAACATGTCCTAAGGACATTCAAATAGCTCCACAGAGAGCTTTCCGCATGGTGAACGACTGAGGCCTGAAACATCAGTAATTTACAAGCCATATGAGTGAGACATCTTAAAGGGGATCCTTCCTCCAATTAGGACTAGAGATACAATTGATACCTTGGATCTTGAGCCAAAACCACACACCTGAACTACTCCCAAATTGCTGGCCCACAGGAACCATGTAAGATAACATGTGTTTATTACTGTAGATGATTGACAATGTTTAGTTACATCAAACAGCCATTGATTCTGACTCATTGGTGACCATCCTGTTTCTGAGGCTATAAAATTTATGTAACACATGTAAGATAACGTGTTTATTACTGTAGATAGTTGACAATGTTTAGTTACATCAAACAGCCATTGATTCTGACTCATTAGTGACCATCCTGTTTCTGAGGCTGTAAAATTTGTTAGGAGGTGACTTAGCATCTTTCAGACACACAACCTTTTGGTTAATAGTACCATATGCTATGGACTATGCCATCAGAGCTCATTTTTATATAGTGTTGTTGTTGTTGTTGTTAGTAATCTAACATTACTGCCTCTGAAAACCCACTGAAGCGTCATCTATGGGTCGGTTCCAACTCAATGATCCACAACAAATACTCAAAAAGTGATGTAAATAATAGTTTTAGTATTAAGTAGGGTTCTGTTACCCCTGGTTGAGTAAGTGGTTTTGCATAATAATATTTATCAACTAATACAAAGTATTTTGATAACTTTTCAACCACTACAGCCATACCAGTTATGTATGTGTGATGTTTCAGAATCTTAAGGCATTGGGAAGGGAGCTCTGGTGGTCTAGCGGTAAGCTGTGCAGCCAACCCAAAGGCACTGGGTGCAAATCCACCAGCTGCTCAGTGGAAGAAAGATGGCAAATCAACTCTCACATGATTTTCTTCTCTGAACCCACTGGAGTATCAGATATAAATGGGTTCTAACTCATCAGTCCATAACAACAACAAGGCACTGAGAAGCTTCATAAGTCTTCTTTAGCACATAGCCTTTCTTCTCTGCATAA